TTAACTAAATTACTGCTAAATTTTTGAAATTCTTACTGAAATTTCTTTTTTGTTTCAATGTAAACATTTATCGTTGTCTCTCGTCTATTCATGCTCCATGGGAATAGTGTTAAGTCATATTTGATTTTGATGCTAAAAATATAACATTATAATTATAACCTGTAATAGGTACAGTGCCTGGAAGAATGTAAACTAGTTTTTTTTTTTTTTGGGGGGGGGGGGGCTTTATTTTGTGAACGTATTTGCTTTACCGAATCTTCAATTTATTGTTATGGCGAAGTCCATACTCTGTTATTTTTTTCAATCGGTAGTGTATCGATATTATTGTGTTATTTATTAAATGCTGAACTTTATACCGTATTTATTTTCGTGTCCGTCAGTATCGTGTGATTCTCGCTAAAGAAATACTTATTTCGTTGACAAAAGTTAGAGCCAATTGCGATCTGATGAACAGTTGAACACTCTATCGACAGGACAGTTGGTCGCTTGCATTCCTGGCTTCAAGTTTATTTACGTCTTGCAGGTATGGTTTTGACTTTTGTAAGTCCTGAATGAGATATAAAAATAACTTAATTTTTTAAATAAGCTAATTTGTGAGATTTAGAAATTATAATATAATCGATTGAACTCAAAGTGAATATTTATTATCGTGTGTGACGGTTTTGAGGTCCTCTTATCGATACTCGAATACTCCCGCCCGTTAATTACAGACATGCATTTCCACCATTCGTGACATCAATCAGTGTAAATTAAGATGTCACTTAGCGATGAATTTGTATGATAAATGCGCACTTCCATGGCTTTCCTAACGCTTTCCATTACTTCGTAATGGTTTGTATGAAGTGAGCTCGTGCCGGATTGATTGTACGACTTGGGTCCGATCAACTCTCGGACACTTTTCCGGCAGCTCTCAAATATTCAGTGAACTAAAAATATCTCTCAAACTAAGGAACGCTGCACCTGCGTTCCTGTTGTTGTTGTTCGTTGCGGCCGTCACGCTCGGGGGGGGGGCACCGGAAGGGGGGGAGATGGGCGAAGGCAGGGAGGGTGGCCAGGAAAGCCGCTGCCTCCATGGGGNCGAGGGCTGGTTCGACGCACTGCCTAGATACGGACGGCTTGGTGGCGGATATCACATTCGCTGCAAGGCTCCGGCGCGCTACGTCCGAGTGGTGTACAATTTTTTCGCGGTACGGCGGACGACGCTAGGCCATTCGATCGCCGGCTGTTTCTCCTGAGGGCTGATTGGTCTAATTCGATTGATTCGTTCTGTCTGGTGGCTTTCGGCTGCCTATATGATTTTCCAGAAGTGTTGAAGGCTACGTTCCGGAGGGCAGGAGTCATGATAGTCCATTACATCCAGGGCAGTGGTGGTCTTCGGCAGGCTTCCCGGCACAGGCCAGATCTAGGTGAGCGGATAATGGGAGGACGCCGGTCTCCTGGTGAAGATGAGCGATCGGGGCCATTCTGAGGCAGCCGGTGGCTAATCTCAGTGCAGTGTTTGCATTCATTTAACTACAATGCGGGCAACACAAGGGGCCACCATAAAGCAACACTAGGGGCCACGGCTATAAACTAAAAAAACTGCGCTGCAACTTCTCCACGTGAGAACATTCCTTCTCGCTTCGAATCACCGACATGTGGAACAGCCTCCCTGATAACATCGTTGGCGCTCCGAGTATGAACGCGTTCAAGAACAGACTAGAGAAAGCTATGGAAAAATATGTTCAGACTTAAAATGCCTGGCACCATATCGAACTCGGTGGAAGTCTAGTAGCTACTTCAAACTATCGTCAGTCTTGAAAATATCCGGTCAAATGACACGATTTTTAGATCTTCAGTGAACAAGTTACGAAAAATACAAGAATCGGCATCAGGCCTACTCTTTAGCGCCGACATCACTTATGTCATGTTATGATGTTTAGGTCGTTATTATTTTTTTAGATTTTGCCTTCGTTTCTCGCGGGTAGAAATTCCCAGTGAATTATTTTCTAAACAACAGAACATATTTGTAGAAAACTTTAAATATGCATTAATGATCGCATATCTCTGATGTTTAGCTCGTGCAAAAATTTTCAATTAAGTCTTTACTCACGACTTAAAAGACTATACAGAGAAGCTACCGGAATTTCTGAGGCCGATTAGAAAATTTGCAATGAACATAGAATTTTTTCTCAAACTAATGAACGCTGCTCCATGAAACTTAGCACAGGCCTTTAATAGTACCTAAAGGTGCCTGTACACAGGGATAGTACTAGCCGCTAGTTCATCCGGCGCTTGAACTGTCCACGCTACTATCCTCGTGTATAGGGGTTCAGCCGCTTCAGAGGCATGCGCCGGCAAGTGCCCGAGGCGCGGCCGAGAGAGACAACGATGTGTTGATATCTTGGCTGNCTAGATGTGTATAAGAGACAGTCTAACGACTCACTGGCGGGCGCGAACGAGAAGATAGCGGCACCTTATACTCTCCTCGTGTGTACAGGCTTACTAGCCGGATAGTCACCAAGCGACCGACACTAGCCAGATTTATTAGCCGTCTGCACTATCCCTGTGTACAAGCACCTTTAATAACGGTAAAGTTTTGGGCCCGATCGTTTTTTTTTCAATTTCGCCTAGGTTTGCGACGTGCGTGAACTGTAACTGAAGTGATAGTGCTTCATAATAATTACGTTTTTATTGGATTCCGCGCAAAGATTTATACGTCGCAAACTAAGGCAAAATCGATAATATATCACGACCTAAACATTGGTAGGTCCTAATGAATGCATGTGTAAATTTCACCGTGCTGCGTTAATTAGTTTGAGAGATAGTTTATGTGCACTGAACGGCCGCATAAGTGTCTGAGAGGTCTAAACAAGTTGGACCAAGTGAGCTACACTACTGAAGGGGCTACATTTTTTGCTCATCCCAACGGGTTTTTAGCGGCTTCAGGATTAATTTGAGAATTAACCTCAAAATTAAATACTAGACCCTTATAATTAACGTACACGAAAATTTATTAATACAAATGAGTGTTTCCTGTGAGTTTAAGCTTGTCATATCTCTTCATTATAACGATCGAATGACAGTGATAGAACGTTCATCTCAAAGTTTTTTGTTCTGCACTCAAAAAAAACTCCCAAGGTTGGACGATGTGTTCAACTATGCAAACTGCCATCAACGAACAAAATAAGAACTACTCGCATCTTATACTGACTAAAGTTGAACTGATGTTCCATAACTGGTCATTTTTCATCAATAGCTGTAGTGAGATATGATATGCGCTCTTCACCATTGAATTGTATTTGTTTTATTTTACATTACAAATTAGCAGCACATATTGACTTGTGCATTTTTCCTATTTTAGTTAATTTTGTTGCTGAGGATCTACGAAATGGTTTCATATGCCGACGTCTGGTGTACAAGCCGAAATAACAATTTTTTAACGTGGATATTATATCTCCGCAATGGTAACCAATTTGACCACCAAAATAGACTTATTGTCTATTAATAATGTCATTAGATTGCTTTAATCACAGATTCACTAGAAATTTAAAAGCTAAGAAAACACCGCAAAAATTAAGCATATCTCTATTGAAAACGTTTCGGAGACCAGCTCCATCGTTAGTTCGATAAATCTAGTACACAAATAAAGTCGAAAAATTAATAAAGTTTGTAGTAAAAAAAGGAGTTAAAAAACTAAATTTACAAACAAAGGGCAGAATAATAAAGTAAGCACCTATCTATTCACAATTTCTAATGGATATGAACTATAGGCAGCATTTAAACTAGGCTTCTCTTTAAAAATATACAATGATTCCAAAATACGAAGATCGGAAGCACAAGAACTATAAGCTAAAACCTTAAAGTCAGTGTTGGACACTGGAACGTTGCACTGTTCGGCGTGAGTGCGCACAGCCGAATGAGGAGGGCACGATAGTAACTGCCCAGTCTTATAACTCCTCCTCTGTGCTCAGCGACCCTAGTGTAAAAGTTGCGTACCGTCATCCCAACGTACGCAGATGCACATCGTGCACAACTAAATTTATACACTAGGAACGATCACATGTGACAAGGGAGGATAACTTTGTACCTAAAAAACGAACCTATTTTGAAATTATTCACCAGTAAGATACGAAGATTAATGTCCGGAAAGTATTTCATAAACAAATCTCTTAATTCTCTTGACATAACTTCGGACGCATGGCCAAAGTATTGAAGAGGACTGTAAATAACGTTTCTACTATCAGGCTCTGGAACAACTTCACTGTGGCGCTTAGACATGAATTTCTTAATATGGGTAAAATCCAAGCCAGAAAAAGAAATCCATTAGGCTAGAAGATATTGCACAAAAATTCAAATTCAGAATGCAGGGCATGGAAAGTCGAGCAAATACGAAAGCCGCGGTGTAATAGTGTTTGAAGCCTGTTTAACTTGAATCTAAAAGAACAAATACTAAAAAAGCTGGTACTTAAGCCGGTGTAAGTTGATTTTCTGTAAACAAATGTTTGAAGACGGCCATTAGATTTAGGAATATTGCAGTCTAGAAAGGACAAACTATTGTTCGATTCAAGTTCCATGGTAACTTTAATAGAATTATGTTGCCAGTTTAGATAATCGAAGAAAAGTTATTAGAAATTTTACTGATTCGTGTTACATTTAATTGAAATTATGTTCCGTTTTACTGTAACGGAGACCTTAGAGATTAAGTTAGATCAAGTATCGATTTCGAGAGAAATTTTGAAGCATTAGGTTCAACTTTTGACTGGCTTATGTGATACGGAGGTGACTCAAATGGTGTTCTAGGCTACTGTATTGCCCGCAGTGACCAGAGTGCAATTTCACTTCCTATCATCTTTTTGAATTAATGCATGCTATGGGCCCTCCATCAAGTTAATGCATGCCACGTTACTATTTGGTTTGACCCAACTTTAAGACGTCTCTGACGCATTAATTAAAGTTGGCAGTATTGCCGGCTTTCGAGCCTATTAACTTTACGCCCTGTGGCGCTCGAACCTTATTAACTGAGTCACGTTGGGTCGACCAGTCATTTATTAATATACTAACCTTTGCACTCAATTGCACTTTCAAAACACCTACCTCTAAACGGCTTTCAAGCCACTTCTAAATTTACCCCAGCGGTAATAAATTAGAAGGTTAGTCTCGAAATATTTAATCTTAACTTTGCATAAATTGATCAATATATCTTGATCCTCATAATGATTAATAGCATATGATACAATAACACTTGTTCAATCAATCTAATCTTGGTTTGTAACTGTTAATTTTGCAGTATAACCTCCGTCGCATCTCGTACGTCACATCTCTTTTGCCGTGTGTTTCGTGCCTCCAGTGCAGCCAGCGCGACATTATTTGTACTGTACGCGTTATTTCATTTGAGGTTAGATTGGGAATATGCGTTCACTGTCAAGTTTTGTACCGCTGAATTGGAATTTCTGAGCATAATTGATCAAATCATTTCTCAAGCTTTGGCATTCATTAAGTAAAGTTTATTTTTCTAATTTCAGTTTCCTCAACTGCATCCATCTGCCTATATATAGTTCCTATCCATTAGAAATCTTGAATAGATAGGTACTTACTTTATTATTCTGCCCTTTGTTTGTAAATTTAGTTTTTTAACTCCTTTTTTTACTCCAAACTTTATTAATTTTCTGACTTTATTTGTGTTCTAGATTTATCGAACTGACGACGGAGCTGGTCTACGAAACATTTTCAATAGAGATATGCTGAATTTTTGTAGTGTTTTCTTCGCTTTAAAATTTTTATTGTCTGTTTAATTATACAATAATACTCCAAACTATTCCAAATAATCTTTTTTAATTATTTGTGATTAGTACAATCACACTTGCTGACCAATTAATTATTTTATAACTTTATTAAATTGATAATTGATTTACTAATAACTAACCACGTGCCATCATAATAAGTTTATTCTGTTAACACGCATACAACTTTATCGCATTCAATGCCATTTAATCCTATGGAAAGTGTGCGCCCCACCAAAAATAAGCAACCAACTAAATTCGCTTCTATGAATAAATGCCTTTCCAGCACTGGACCTGCAAAAATTTACTATCTGTCTAAACATCGACTTGCCTGAACGACTTTACCTGATATTTTAAAGGCTCACGGTGCAAATCGAAATTGAAAGTAAATATGACAGCAAATTAGGATCTGATATTATTAATTTCAGAGTTGATGATATTGTATAGCCTATAACTTGTTATTCTACCGTCACTAATAGCCGTGTTGGAGTTCCCACTGTTCATGCTTGTGTAATGTCCAACGCGTTCGAAATTAAGCTGCCAGTATATACCGGATTCAATGGCGAATGATGCCAATTTTTATTTGTCTTATTAGAGTCTCGGGTTGGCAAGCGCAATCGTTGCCTGCTGTGCATTACTTCACACGAGGAAAACCTGTTCTCCCCCTTCAATTTTAAACCATTTTTGCTCCATTTCGAAAGTAATTCTAGCTGTGTTTTAATGAATTATCCTGTTATTTCCTATAAGAAAAATTGATGAAAATTTACTATCAAGATCTGTTTTGTCGTATAATAATCAGGTGCTCGCAGCTTTATCGTCAGTGTTTACGATGTTCGATAATCGGTGATCTCGGTTGCAGCTGAAGCATAAATATATATACATGGATAGTTTAGAGGGATACACGACAACTTAATTTATTCGAGAGTATCATTGAGTTCATCTCATGCGGTGAGCGCACCAACTGCCGGCTTGCCGAAGAGTTCATTCTGCTGAAAATTTCCTCTTTCTCCCGCCTCGACGACGTAATTATTTGAATTTGTATTCTATCGCATAAAGGCAAATGTTTTCAAGGATTAAAAGACGTTTTAAGTTTTTAATTGGACACAAAAAATCAGCTTGTTTCCCGAATTCAAATTGTTTGCACGCAGCCTAAAATAATTATGAATCATGAATTGGTGGGGACACGTTTTACGGAGGGCGAAATAATTAATAGCTGAGACTACTTCTTTAGAAAATAACTGTTTTATAGATTCTAAACGAACTATACAATAGTTTATTGCACTTCAAGTCCTATCAAGACAAATTAATTCGCTTCTTACTGATTCGACGAAATAAAGTAAAGACTGATTTATTTTCATTGCAAAAATGAAGTTTTTGTACGATTATCCAAGGCCTAACACTGCCCAAGGCATGCAGAGAGCTGTAACTGGAAAAAATCCAGACTCGAATTTAGTACATCGTTATCTGATGGGCATTTTTCTCGAACCGGTTCACTGCTTTACGAGAAGAAACTCTGACAAGGTTATTAGTTCAAATGATATCTTTAAGTCGGGGACACATCTGGGTATAGAAAAACGAGTGGTACTTATTCTATCAGTTAATCAGCGGGAAATGTAGAGCTTCATATCAAGCCGAAACGATCATGTTCGCTCGTATGAGAGACTAAGTTTGACAGTGCATCGATCAGCTGTGCCTTCTTCGTAAATGGCAGTTGTGTGACCACGACGGCTAGAAGATAGATTTTTTTTTTAGAGATGCCATACTTGGCTGATCGGCGAGTACATATGAGGCGGCGCATAGATTATGTAATTATAGTTTTTTGGTACGTTTTGAGAGCATTTTGTGAGCATGTTAGGCACCAAGAATTTTTTTGCAGCAAGCATGTCTGGTAATGATTTTTTTTCTGTCGAAAAAGCGTTGTTTACCAAAATTAGTTAATCTGGGAGACCGTTAGTTTAATAAATTGCAGCTCGCTGGTTAATATGCACATATTTAATTTATTTGTTGTTCGTAGGAAATGAATTTGTTATGCAGGTAACATTGTCTATAACGAATTGCTTCATCTGTAAGGCCGTTACGTAATGAATTTTCTCGTTCGATATCACATTAGGTAAAAAGTTCCTTTTATTAGTTAAAGTTTCTTTTAAAAATAACTACGTTATTTATTGAGTTTGTTCCCAGCATTGAATAAGGCGATAAATTTATTAATTGTAATTGGCATAGTTCGTTAGTTTAAAATAGGTTAGCCTAGTGGTTACAGTTCAGAGTACCATGATGGTAAAGTTCCTGGGAGCGCAGCCGTGCACCACCAATTTTGTGCACCAATAAGCCCTGGATCGAACGCCTTGGATCTCTCCGGACATCCACCAAATCAGCCGTGAACCACTCGGCTTTGTCTTCCTCCGGCCTACTAGCATAGAACCTGCCATGCACCACCAGGCCTCGGATCGAATATGACTTCCGGGCATCGTTAAATTACGTAATTTTACGTTCACTGCATCTGAGGTTAGGTTTCAGATAGCATTGTTCTGTTCCAAAATTTATCGTCCTTCGACAAGTGGCCGTTCGACCGAGAGCTGGTTCGACCCACGGCCTAGATACGGACGGCTTGAAGTGTTGAAAGCTACGTTCCGGAAGGCAGGAATCATGATGGTCCATTACATTCAGGGCAGTGGTGGTCTTCGGCAGGCGACCCGTTTCTCTCGGTACCATATTGACATGATTATTTTTCAGCTAATATTATAGTCGAATAAAAAATTATTCACTTATACTAAGAACGAGGAACCTGAATGTTGGGTCATCCGAGTTATTTTTTGTTAAAGTTACACTATCAAACATGGCTAACTAAAGATTAGTGCAGGTTCAACGGTCGTTGTAAAATTGTTATTTTTGTATGTTATTCGAGACTGGCAGCAGCAGAGGCTGATTGACTGCAGGTCTGCAACCAGTGTGATAGATGGTGAGGAGGTGGCAGGTGTCTGAAGTCACTCGGGGCCCGTAGAGTCGAGACAGAAGCAACGCGATGCAGTCGGACTCGCTCAGTTTCTTGCGCGGGGCGGTGAGAAGTGAGCCAAAAGTAGTACTCCTTACCCAAGGGACTGAAATTTCCCGTGTGTTTTACGGTGCTAGATTCCTCATGTGTTACAGCCGTCATTTGATGGGAAAAGTTGTGTGAATGGGTGCAAGTCGGACTCTATTCCAAATATATCATAGATCCGTGTTCTCAAACTATCTTCTATCTTCTTTCAGAATGTATCTTTTTTGCTGGTATGGTGATTGAATATTTGTTACCACATTAAGTGAATGCACGCTATTGTTGATCATTGTTTCATCACTTTAATGGCCGGACAGTTAGCATCAGAAAGCTAAACTCAGGCAGATATATATGCACTATTCCGTTGTAGGAACTGTGTTCTCCACTTCCGTCATCAGAGTACCTGGCAATATTTTGAAATACTACGACTAGTAAAAAAATAATTTAATGATGAGCACAGTAATTTTTTAAAATCTATACGAAATAAACACACCACTTTCATGTACGTCACAACGACCACATTTTTAAATTAACATAAACCGGCCGGTATTAATTTAAAGTTTCTTTAAGAATATAAAAATTTATTTCACCAGTCAACATCAGTTTTCCCCAAATTCAGCTCAGCTGCCCCAAAGGAAGGTATTACTAGAGTTCAGTGACTTGAGGAACTTCATTACTACAGAAAAACTAAAAGATATCCTTATTATTTTCTAAAGACCGTATATTTTTATACCAGAAGTGAATATAACTTTTTGATTCGACTGTGTACCCGAAGAAATGTGAATAACTAGATAAGATACTAGGTATATTCTTGCACCGGAAATCAACGTCTGTCAATTTCAGCGGAATTCATACTCCAAGGAAATATTTTCAAACTTCTGAAAAAAAAAAACACAATAATGACTGCCAGCACAGACTCCAAGCATAGGACGTCAGTTATTCTTCACATTCATTCTTGTTGATGTCACAAGATGCATTGGAGCCGTTCGTTAAAACCCCAAGTATGGGCTCTGGTTTACATAATTGCATCGCGGCTATGGGTTCCAACAAACTGCATAGTTGAAGGTATTTCCATGTACCCGAAAAGCAAACACGGCTTTCAACTCTCCGAGATATCCGTGCCGCAGTTTCTGCTCCTCATACTCGTGTTTTTAGAGCTGGTCCTGCTCTACACGTTGGGCATCTTGCCGGTAGAGTACGACTTCAGCTCGAACTTCGCTAAAAAAGGACTTGATGCCTCGTTGAAGAATGACACAAGCAGCGCCAGCGTCGCTTCACCGAACCGAGTGTGTCACAACAAGCAATTTAGAAAAATTTCTAATACCTGCAGAAAATATTTTTTGTGAAAACCATGCGATTTTTTGAAGCAGTAGTGCATCTATATCATATATGCCTTATTTATTTTGATTACTCCCAGGGCACCTATGCATTACTGAATATTGCATGTTAACCATGACAAAGAAATTGAGTGTATAAAGTGGACAATACTAATTTTAGATACACTTTGGCCAAGAAATAATGTCTTTCTTTATCACTCATCCTTTATTTTTCCATTCTTTTCTTTCAGGTTTTGAAGGTTGAAAACACTGCCGGTGAGTTGGAAAATAATTTGTGCTATTCTTCCGTTGCACTAATTGAGTAATCCGTATATGGGCAATGTCATTTATGTTCTTTCACCAATATTCTGGATAATTTTACTTTCATTCTATTCGCCAATAAAGCAAGTGGCAGTAGACTTGAATGAAATTAAACTAGCAGTGACCGCTAAGAATCACTTGAGTCATCTTCACCTGAAGATCGCAGTTCGCATTAAGCTGATTAGTGATTACGTATATAATTACTTGTTTCCGGAGAGGGGAAAAACTTTCCGTCGGGCTGAGAGATCAAATTAACCATGGTTGAATTAATACTATTAATTCAACCATGAAATTAACAACTCGATTAAAGGTGTTTGCCACCTTTGTTATATAGCTACATCGAGAACAAAACTAGAGACTTTTAAATAAGAGTCTCCTCATAAATGTCAACAGATTCGTTAGTAAATTTTGCTCTTTATGAATTAGGCAAGCCTAACATCAGCTTGGCTAAATTCTTCACTAATACAAAACATTACTTCTCATTGTTGCGTATTATCCTTCGCTTATATTCGGTTAGACTCGAAAACCTGTACATTGGTAATAACGTTGGAATAATTTATCCCTAATTTTGAAACGAAATTTGATTGAAGGATTTGTACAAACTATATAGTGAAATCAAACTTTGGTTGCTTTTTCCTCAAATGCAACTTAATTTTCACAGAATAATTTTGATATAAATAAAAAATCAATAGACCGGTAGCAATGTTAATGGTCATTTAGTTATATATTAATAATATTATATTTATTTGAAAAGTTATCATGCTACAGTTTGTTATTAAGATAAAATTGATTGCTAACGCACCTCATTTGTTGATTTTTTTTATTGCAGACACTGTTGTCCTGGAACAAATTAATCGGTACGACTACATAATGCTGCTGATCATCCTTGTGGTGTGGGCTGCAGAATCTATACCTTTCGACTTCTTTTCTCAATCGCGTAGAAAACGAGATTTGTTGCCAGAGGTAAGAAAGTGTGTTTGGGCTCTAACTCTTGTATACCTGAAATATCGGATTAACTCTTGTGAATATGGAATATCTTAGAAAAATTCAAATTCTTTAGTTGATGTACGTTAGAAATATTTTTTTAACTGGAAATCTCTACAGTATAATATTTATTTAAATTATTAGACGAAAGTGCTTGAAACAGCATCCTCCTCTCTGCGCACTGCGCAGGCATACAATGCACTCGTTTTTGTTTGGCAAACTAAAATTTTTATCGGCTGAATAAAAGATATATTCTGTGGTATTTGCTATATTTGAGAGACAACATCAACTGCGGTTTTTATGGCATAATGACTTCGTGCATAACGTTTGAGGTTCATTTTTTCCATTCTTTTAAATCCTGTTTATTGTGTCGAAGTAACTCCAAAAAAAGATAAATTTTCAAAACGTGAAATCATGTTTACATAAATGCAATAGGCTCGCATTCGGTCGATAAATGCATTAGCACAACGTCAACAGTTGATCAGATCTGAGAAGGCTTCTACCGGAGTTGGGCCGTTACATTCTGAGGACCAGGTACTGGCCGGCACTCTGGACCGCAAGGATAGAAAGCATTTGCAGGTTGTTTAGGCCAGTCTGAGACATGTTAGTAGGTCAACCTGCGTCTCGAAACGCAGAACAGTCTTGATTTCGCCACCTGTGGGGAGCAAGCGTGCCCTAAGTCGCTCGCGATCGAACTTTATTCGCCGGTACTCCTTGCTGGTCATTTTGCCATTCAACAAATAAACTAAATGATATTAGAATGCCGATTAAATGGTGCATGATGTCTATGTGTTTATCGTGAGTCACTTAAAATGAGTTAAATAACACAAATATTTTTAATACGGGATCAAAATTCGTTATTGAGTGTGTCTTTAATTGTCGTTTATGTACAATTTTTTGTTGATTTTGTGTGCGTCTGAACTTTTGTTGAAACTGAAATAGGATAAATATTGTCCTCTATTTGATGACTCTCACTATTTTAGCGAAATTAATGACCTGAATAGATTTATATTTTTCGGATACGCAAACAAACATTTTAAGGCATGAGGTTACGGAAAGAAAAGCAGCGGCTCGGGCTGCTACTTGTACTTGAGGTAATTTGTGCGCTAATCGTCGAAGTCCATGCTATTGCTGAGGAGATTGAAGCTACGCCAACGAATACAAACGGAGTAGAGCTCGGCGAAGTGTCGATGGCGCAGTTCATCTTGCTGCTCTTCGTGTTCCTGAAGCTCACGCTTCTCTACTCGGTCGGCATCTTGCCCCTGGAAATAGATTTGGGTGGACTATGGGACCCGGCTTCCGGCTCTGTTTTCGGCAGTCATAAATCGTCATCCGCCTCTTCCGCCGCGCCTAGCGAAGTTGAAGTTGGTCGCTCGTTTGATGGTTACCACGCAAAATACGATGAAACGGTTTCACAGGTAACCTGTTACGCAAATTTGATTATTACTGTTATAATTACGATCAAATGTTTTCATCTGTAACCCTATGTGAGACTCGATATGGCATTGTTTTTCAACTCCTTTACTGCCAGCGAAACAATCTTTAGGGCAGGGTGGCCCAGTAGTTATTGGTTAAAATTCAGAGTAGCAAAATTGGAGCAGAGTAACTTCTTTTCAACATTCAACTTTATTTAAGAAGTAGAAGTAGGGTTGTTACTGGGAAAAGTTTGATTTTTGCACGTAAGCTCGCAATTTTTTCACGTTTCATGATGAATAAATTACATGTTTTTTAGGGAGGTTGCATGAAATTGAAGAATTAAGATTAAGATGTCTTTTTAGCACATTTTCTCATTTATAGAAAAAAGGCGCTATTGTGCTTGTCATGTCCGTCTGTCTGTCCGTCTGTCCGTGACTTCACGTTTTCGTCGACGAGAAAATGAGCTATCTGCCACTCACTGCAGTGAGTACTGAGTTATATTTTTTGTGTTGATGAACGGCAGTGCTAAACAGTTGGCTGTAATAAGTGCTTCATGGTCATCATGGCAGTTGCCTCGTTTTTCTAAAAAATTGTTACACTTGATACATGTTTGGCCGCTTGAAGAACATTTATCATTTTTGTATACTATTTATTTATGTTGGGGGGGGACTTCTAACTTGAAGATTTGTTTGCATGTGAGGATACTTTTATGCTGGTCACGATTTATCGCGTATGTATTATTTGTTGCGTTGAGGAAGCGTTTTACACGACGATAGATATTGTAATTAAATCTTAGAATCAAGTCCGTACAAAGGAACGTACGTAAAGCTTGCGGCCCAAAAAATTTTGTGGCAAAGAACCGTGTAATGGTCACGCACAGGGCGCACATTCATTGTATCCACAATCTTAGCTACAAAGTGCCCCGGGTTTTGCCATTATTTACAGAAGCTCCAAAACGGTGCTCTGGACCACAGGGATGGAAAGCGCCTCCAAGACGTCTGCATGGGGCCGGAGCAATAATCTTTGTAGGTCAGCTTGCATCTCGAAACGCAGTCTTGCTTTTGTCAACTCTGAGGCTCAAGCCCGTTCTAAGTAGCCGTCATTTTACATTAATTAATGTCATTTAATGGTTCATAGGTACACTGTAATTTCAGCGGTCATGATTACCATAGTTTAAACAGTCTAATGAACTCACAGGTAATCCGTTATCCGAGTCTCAGTGATAACAACACGATAAACGATCAAACTGAGTCGAGATTACACTATTACATGAGAGTTGAAACGAACGGCCTCACTGGTAAACTGTTTTTCAGAAATTGATGATTCCTGCATGAAATACGGTCACATGATAACTTTCATGAGATTATTAATGGTTAGAACCTTAGAGAGGATTTAAGTGTCTCTCAGGTAAACTTTCCTGTGTCTTGATGATTACTAGTTAAGAAATGTATTCTATCAGATGTCATCACTTGTAGCTCGTTTTGCGAGCCGTGTCCATTACTTCTTGAGAGAGATTTCACTAGAGACCACTATAGGGTATATTGGGGCATAGTAAGGTAATTAATTTAATTGACACCATCATTTATGTTAGCGGCACAGGACTCTCTGTATCTGATGGTCACCTCCAAGGAGCACATTTTCAGTTTTAATCATTGATCCTAAAACGTACCGTTACATGCTGAAGCCAGAGAACAATAGACTGGACCTAAGGAGATTAGCGTTTGCAGGGTTGTCTAGGCCAGTTTTAGACACGTTAGTAGGTCAACCTGCGTCTCGAAACGCAGAGCAGTCTTGCTTCTGACACCTGTGGAGTGCAAGCGTGCCCTAAGTAGCTCTCATTCCAATTTCGATAGATTCATTCGAAAATTTCCCTATAAACTCATTCCTAAACAAATAGAACAGGTTTTTATAGCACCTAAATTTTCTGTGCTCAAAGTGAGAGGTGTGAAATGTGATTATAAAGAGAGAAAATTATAGTTTATAGTCTTTCCCTACCAGTTTAATATTGAATGACCGTTTGATTAATGAGTTTTCCAGAAAATATGTCGAATATGTTTTCATCTAAATTTATAGTGATCGTGAGTTGATATCAATCATCGATTAATGACCAGAAGAGTTTTCATAACAGCGCGATGAATTAATTGCTTCTAAAGAATTTGCCTTCGATAAGTCAACAATACATTTAAAATGTGGATAACGACGGAAAAGGCGCGGCTATGGCTGCTTTTCGTTACTCTTCTTACTTGTGCAATCATCGCTGAAATCAAAGCGATGGTTACGGAAGTGGAAGCTACACCAACGGCGATAAACGGTCTACTGATCGGAGAATTATCGGTATCGCAGTACATTTTTTTCATGCTGATATTCCTGAAGTTTACGCTGCTCTACGCCGTCGGAGTATTGCCCCTCGAAATAGATCTTGGAGGAGTGTGGGATCCCAACTCGAGGCCTCTCCCCGGCGCGGTAGATCCGTCTCGTGTCGGGTCCAGCGAAGCGCGGTCAAGCTTTGGCAGATCACTTGATCATCACGATACGAAATACAATCAAACGGCTTCACAGGTAAACTTATGCGATACTCCATTAACACTAAAGGGAATGCGATCAACTGGCCTTCAAATTGAAAGATTAACAATTCTTCATATATGTATTGAAACCAAAATAAATGGAACTTCCAGAGAAACGAAGCAGCTGTCGTGCGATTAAAAGTGTGTTTTAAAATAAAACTTCCTCACCGGAAATAGCTCGCGCTATTATAAGTAACTTCCAGGCATTCCCGGAGTTGCGAGAGATAAGCAATCAATAGAATTAATAAGCATCACGCTGCGTATACTGGCAACCTCAATAGCTGTGTTTTGTGTTGGCAACACTAAATATGTAAATACTAAGGCTGGTTTTATTTCGCGCGCTCCTTTGATGAGTGACATCGAACAACTTTAAATTGTGTGTCAAGCTAGCAGCTACTACTTGAACGATAATTGCCAAATTTTCTTTTTCATTACGTTGAGCAGTTCTAAATTTAGTAACGCCAAAAATCTTTAGTTAAGACTACCGATAATCTTATTTGCGGCTGAGCTATTCCACTCTATTTTCCCATTGAGCGTGTTTATTTAAAATTTACATGCTTTTACCAATAATTTTTTCTGTGGAACTTTCTTATCACCTCACATCTGAACTAACATGTGACTTATTATTTGAACAGAACCACCTACTACGCTCCGTCATGTGGGACTGTCCCCTGCAGTTCGTGTGCGAAGTCGACCACTGGGCCAACAGGGACCACGAGTTCCTCATCGAGTCCATGATTGCCAAGTGGCTCAGGTCTGTCTTATTCATTCATTAATGATCATAATATTGCAAGTTATACATTTAAATGAATAATATCTAAATAAAGGAATACGTATGATGAACTGAAATTCGCGAATATAACTAAGCAGGTCACTGAATAAGAAAGTGAGCGAGAGCAGTCTGATAAGATATCTGTTTTTATATTTTTATTTTATAGATCATGATATTCGACAGTAAAGGCTAGAAATAATAAAATCAGAATTAAAAATACATAGTCCATTTCCTCGAAAAGAACATTTCCTTCTCTGATTTTTCAACTATACTAATGTGCGTTTTGGCTTTATTTACGTGTTAAAAATATTAAAGTTACAATTAATAATACATAGTCAATTAACTCAAACTAGCTTCACGTAGTTAAGGATACTTTCTGCAATGTTTTTATTGGATTATTACGTTCAGACCCTCACTGATGCGCCCATCAGCTAGGTCAAGAGAAAGCCAATATTTATTCAGAGATCACATTGAAATTATCTGTACATTATATGATGAAGATATATTTCACATGTATTTGATTTATATTTAAGCTGAAGAATATTGTGTCATGTTTCAGTGATAATAAAGAAATGGAATATAATAACCACCTCCAGAGTGTTAAAATAGTATTTTCTATTATGACTGCGTCTCGGTGTTTCCAATACCCGGTATAAATACTTCAAACTACACTGCCTCAAACTCTGAGCAGCGATAAGCGATAGTAATTACATCAATTGATATTTCCCACTAATTAGGCAATTTCTTTAACATGCTTAATTTTAAACAATCCTTGTGAGATAACTTTAACCAAGTGTGATGCCGTGCAGGAACCCGAGCAACCACACGTTCCATTCAACACAAGGTCAAGTGTTTGGCGGGCTGCCCGAGACCTGCCCGGCGATGTACCCTTGTCCCTTCGACGTCCAGAAGGCGGTTGGTATCACCATTCCAGGGTCGGCTCGCGCCGTCAGAAATGATGTGGACCATTCTGATCCTGATTCATACCTTTCACTATTTTAATTATCAATTATCATATACATGGTTTGATTAAGTGCGTAGGCTAACAACATTCAATGAAGTCTCATAACTCTGATTTGAATGTTGCTCTCGCTTATCGTTACACACTTTCGCAAGGCATTACCTAGACTTTAATTTTCTATGTCGGCTAATGGCTCTGGCTACAAGAAGGAGTGTTGGTTACAAAATATTGACAAGTCAGTCAAGATTTTTCCGTTCTTCATAATTTCTATGACAACTATTCCAAGTTGAATAAAATCAAGAAGGAAAATTAATATTTGCTACAGTTTCCTAAGGTCACTTAATTGCACTAGACTCAGAGATTAAGATGCATTGAGTTCTTCACTTTACTCAAGCCAAAACTGGTGCAATTAAATAATTAAGCGCTTAATTGAAGCTCAAGTTCCTAAAATACCATGACTCGTATAGGTGTGTTGACTGGTTTAATATTATTGTGTAATGTGAAATTATTGTAGAAGTAATTCTTATTATTCATTAAATAACGTGAACATAAAAAAAGTATTATTCATTTTTTGACTTTAGATCTCGCTTTGGCTATAATACAATTTTGCTTCATCTTTATTTATTTATACGAGGCGTGAATCTCCTGGGATTTATCCCCGGCGTTATTTTTATAGGTTGAATTTATAAAAAATTGCTGGAACTACTGTAAGAAATCCATTGTTATCACAAAGTATTATTATAATTATTCAAATAGTTTATCAGTATTGTTTGAGCTTGATACTTGTTCGTAGCTCAAGACCTTTATAATATTTTTAGATTTTAATTTTGTTCAAGTTTTTCTTTCTATTTCTTTTTTTTTGCCAAGCGTCCGTCTTCAGAGACAGGATTTTTTATTTAAATCTGCCTTAATTTGTGAAATTTGTTAGTTCTATTTATAATTTTAGCCAAGTTGCGGCTTTTAGACTTCTTCTCCAACTATTAAGCGATTTTTATTCAGAGATGCTTAGAATATTGTACAACTGCAAATCTAAGAGCAAGTCCATGGCTGTATTGTAATTCTGTTGTATTAGGGTGCTTCTAAATACTTAGTATTATGATGAAGAACTATTGCTGGTTCTTGTATAACTTAATATATTAAAGTCTCGTAAATTGGATCATTAAATTTTTAGCGGAATGTGTTTCGAATTTTAGTTTGTGTTCCAGCAGCTCCCAGAATAGAACGACATCTAGCATCATAGTTTTATAGTTAGCATAATTATAGTGGATAGCATCATAGTTTTATAGTATAGTTGACAGACAGCCAGAATAATTTTGATGCATTTCCGTGTTAATTTCTACGCATATACTATCATTGTTCAATAACACTTCATCCCTAGGCGCGTACTTTTAAATTAGGTTACCAGGAGCGCATGTAACAGTAGCACTTGATAATAGTTATTACAAGTGCTTGTTGCTAATAGGTAATAAAAGTAGGTAAAAAATAGGTAAAAAAAATAAAAGTACTTCTTCAGAATCTCAAAAAACGACCGTTTGAATAGTCTTCTTCTAATTACCTAATTTAATCATTTGCATCAGCAAAAACTTTTCTGGACGCGATGGCATTGGAACAATTTCATAATTTACTCGAGTATTTAGCTTTATTACATTTATTCGTCATGACCAATAAGTTTGAACTGTGAAATATTCGAGAGTATTTTTCTGGCTAACCGATGCCCGGATAAACGGTGTCCGTACGTTCGCTTATTATGCTGGCTTTTGGTATGGAACAATTATTTAATACCATTGTTTGCCAAATGTAACAATATTTAATATATTATTCGAATTCCATGGACTTTAAATTGTTCAGCCAATATGTTCCACACAAAGGATGTGAGAAGTTCTACCCTCTGAAACCGACTCAAATCACTGATAGACAGGGCATGTAAAAACACATTAGACTATAGTTGAACAACAAATAAATGTAATATAGTATCTTGCGACAATTTAATTCAACACGGTTGAATAATCAATACTGTTGTATCCCTGCTTTTTAAAGCAAGAATTAGTGTGGTGGGATAGCTGGCTACATTTGAACTTCTCAGGGTTTCTGCCAGCGGGCCCTACGCTACGTAGACGATGTAGACAATTTAGGAAGTACTTCCGACCGAATGGTAGATTGATTTTTAAGGCTCCATTAAATTCGACTGGACGATTCATCAAATACTACGATCCGACAAAATAATTTAGTGGAAACTTGACACAATCTTGGCAACGTTAAAGATCGGCTGGAGACTATCATAAGAGATGACCAAGGTAGAAAGTATGACAACATTCAGTATTCCGACATAAAGATCATGTTCACAGAAACTCGACAATACGGCGGTTAGGCGGAGCCAGGCTGACGATTTTGTATTCACGCTTCAAGCCTTTATAGCTCCCAAGATCCCCATTGATACACGTGATTTCTTATATCAAATCTGTTAACTGTTATTGAACTTGAAGAACTTTGAAGTTCTTCGATAACTTATTTTAGTTCTTGGCAATAATATAAACACATGATAGAATTGCTGCTGAAAATGACCCATCTGACGCGGCCAATTCTGGATAGAAGCGCGGCCAAAGTCTGAAAAGTATTTTGCGTCGGGTGCATCTTCATCGTTTTGGCATTGGCCACTATACCCTTGCATGATTGCGATGTGGGGAACACTTTAGATCATTTTCCTCTAGAGGGCGCACAGTTTAGTCTGGAACGTCAAGTTTGGTCACTATTACATACAGGACTTGAATTTTGTTCCGATTCTGTCCATTGGATAAGTCGATGTACGATGTACGTCTTCTAACCTCAACGCCTTTTCCCCTGCTATACCTTCACGTCCAAGCTTGGGATTCAGCATAATGAACATTATCACTTCTCTTTCGGCGGGAATTTTCACGAGAATAAGTTTTTATAATTAGCCAATTTCCTTTACGAACTAGTACACTATCCCGTTAATCACGGAATCGGTGAGCTTCACAATTGAATTTTTTATTAAGTGCGAATCAGGAAGCATTCAGTCTTCAGTAATTTGATTTTGAAAAATGTGATGTTGCATTTACCTGAAATAATTGGATTTGCGTTTTCCTGGTGACTTTTTTTTATCTCGTGCAGAGCTTTTAATATATTTGTATGACATTCCAGAACTCTCCAAAAAGAATAAATCGAGCCTATGTTAGCTGCAATTTCCAATGTACGAGCTAGCCTCGCACTAACCCCAGATTGACTTCGCGGTACTGAACACCCCCAAAAAGATAGTATCAAACCGCTGACATCTACACCTGCTAGAATAAGGATCATCCTCGAATTAGCTTAAGATTGAACATCACGGTTCTGAACTGTCTTTTTCCACACCTCTTGAAATATATTTAACCGCTGTCGGTTACGCCAGCTGGTATACGAGCAATATTTAAACTAAATGAGCTGTATTACCTCGCTGCACCGCATTAAACTTTCAATTCGTAGGGGTTTTTATTGCGCGGTCGAATGATATAGTGTAACCCATAAGCCAGCCTCACCGTCGCCTCTCAACAAAACATAGTCTATGCCTTCCAAAACCTCGGAGTCCTCTGATTTTGGGTTCGTTAGTTGAAGTTTTGAGCGTAGGAAGCGGAATATGGGCAGCACGTACGATGCACATATGGTTTAAAGGGAGAGTTCTGCCCTCCAAAAAATGCCTTAACTAACTGACCTATCTTTCTGAAACACTTAACACTAGCAAGAACATATTGGTCGTCTGAATTTTTTGAGGAAATGAAAGAAAACGGTAAAGTGGGGAATTTTATGAATCTCATCTCTGTTTTTTAATTTACGAGCTATAACATCGAGTATTATATCATTCGATTCGTACCGCAAATCTAGATGCGACACTAGATGCCATTTTTTAAGAAGACTTTTTCCATTTTTACACCGCTCGCACTCCGTCTCCATAGTTTTTACTATGTATAATCCAATGAAAAGATAAATCGGAAAATAAGGCGTCTAGAACCGCTAGATATTCTGTTTTACAAATCGAAGGATTTGTCTCAAAATATTGTAGCTTGAAAATTAAGAAAGGAGATTTTGAATGAGGCGAAAAAGGCAATTTCAATTGTTCATCTAGATAGTATAACTTGTATAATTGAAATGTATTTATAAAAAGAGGTGAAGGCTAAACAATTTGCTTGAGAATATATCCATCCCCTGCTTTCATTGAGTAAACGAAGTTTTGTTATTATCTGAAAATACGCCAAAACCGAGCCAACAATGAACTAGCACCAAACGGAAGCATCGCGACAACCATCTCCTCCCAAAAATATATGAACTGTGAGGTCAAGGCAGATGAACGAATCCTACAGTCAATCGTGCAAAATGAAATTACGAGCACAAAAAAACTGACAGAATAAAACTTTTTATGTGCTATATATGAAAGAAGGAAATCATACAAAAAAATCCGTGTGAAATATCCGGACTCAAGATGCCTGTGACGTTTATAAATTTCTTTTGAGGTTAAAGATTCTTCAAAAATTAATCTATATTGGCTTACATCAACTACGTTAAGCCACCGTCTCACTTGCCAACTCCAGACCGGAAGACCAAAGAAGAACATGAGGGAGGCTCACCGTGAGACCAGCGCGATCCCGACGCAGCGCCGCCCTCTATGCATGCTTGCAATACCTATAGGCAGCATCGCTCAGACGCTACAAGACTGACATGAGCTGAAGCTCTCCTCACCAAGAATACGTCTTCAAATATCAATTGGCAAGCAAGTGAGTTCTTCAGGTAATAATTTCAGAGAAATCAAAGCTTTAATTTGATCCATAATACGTAATTTTCGTACTTAATTAAGTCAACCCAAAATCTAAATGTTAAGCCCTGTAAATTATTAGCTATCAATTTGCAAGCTAGTGAGTTCTTCAGGGATTTGGCATAATTTCAGAGAAATTTAAGCTTTAATTTTATTCATAATACCTAATTTTTGTACTTAAGTCAACCCAAAATCTAAATGTTAAGCGCTGTAAAACCTTCGCTTTACTTTACAATGAACAATATGTGTTCGAAACATCGAAATATGTTAATGAAGCTCCCTTTTCAAACATCATTTTCAATTTTTATTCCTTCAAAGAAATAAATTCAGTAAAAAGGGAAAAAACGACAGGAAAATTGTTAATAAAATTTGTTCACTGATCTTGGACAAAACCTGCATCAATGGATAATATTATACACTTGGATTTGATTTTTGCGAAGTAAAATTCCTCATAAATAGATAAAATTTGCTATGAATACACAGTATCATCAATCACATGACAATTCAATTCTTCTGGTAGATTGAAGCATGGTTGAAATATGTATTGAAGAGAGTGGCACGAAATCAATTCAGTGTTCGACAGAAGTGTTTTGCCGGTAATCTCAGTCGAACATTTAATAGATTTTTCACACAAAAAGCATGCTGGTTTTAATTAACCTTCCTTGCAAATCAATTTATAGATGTGTCTACTATCCTACAATCCTAGGTTATGAAATTTTTAGAACTTTTCCCAGAGAATTCTTTTCGTACTTGATAATCGGTCTCATACAATTGAAAATGTAGGATTATCCAGAATATTTTGTCTCCGAATATCTTACCGTCTCCCTTTGACGACGCACTGGCGTTATTCTCTCTTCTCTAATGGCATCAGACATCACTTTAATTTCAATATGAAATAATTTTTCTCTTTTGCTAACCTCATTGTAAAAAATTAAATCAACTATTACAGATAAGTATTTACATTTAAGATTCCGTCTTGAGTTTCAAAGACTCGAGGCCAACTTGCAATTCTTTTTTCAAAATTTTGTAGCGCTGATAATTTTCCTGCACAGAAAATGCACATTAATCAGACAACGGTTTAAACAATCTTGATGTTTATTCTTTAATTTCTAATCTAACTAAACATATAACTCGCACATCTGCAGCAATAAATTATCACTCCGAGAATCTCACAGACCCTTACCTGATTGTTCTTGTGACGTTACAAAAGATATTTTTCAAACAACAATTTATAAATGAAATTTTTAAATTACTATGATTAATTAATTAATTAATAATTACTATGATTAATGTATCTATAGTCGGTACGTAACTGCTACGTGGTAAAATTACTTATATAATTACCTAAATTTTCTCAAATATTTGATATCAAAGTCACCTTTATTTCACGCAGTCTAAATTTCGCATAAGTTTTGAGGTTCTGGAAGCCGAAGTGACTGAGGAAGGCGCGATCCAGCACCCAGTACTGGAAGCCCAGCGCGTGCAGCAGGTAGTGCTGTGAAAATAGCAGATAATTCATTTCAGTTATAAAATTAAAAATTGATTATTCATATCAATTATTTATATTTTTTCAATTGTTGAGTAAAAACGTTGATATCCGACAGCTGCGATTCGAATGAGAGATTTTCTAGTTTTTTGTAATGATTACTGGATGGTCATAGTTTGAAATTTTTTCTCTAGTACTCTTTAAGAAGAAAAAAGCGATTTCTACGAAATTTATGGCATTTTCGTAATATTAGAAAAAAAATTTTAGCAAGAACGAGTAGAAAATGTCAGACTATAGGAAAAAATTGCATATTTAGCTCCATTAAACAGCGGCAACGATCCCAGTCAACTCATGAATGTGAAAACAGCAATCTTTAATTGAAGTCTTTGATATGAACAGCCAGCTGAATGTTTCTTAAACTCATTTCTCATACTATATTGAACACAGAATTATAGTAAATTCTAATATTTAAAGTGCAAGATTATAAGCAGCTTCTAGCTTCACCAAACTACTCCGGCAGTGACCGAAGCCCACAAATCGTTCGTCAAACTCTGGCGCTCTTCTGTCAAGAACCACAATTGGCTCCCAGAACTCCTGGTACGAGGTGATGTTGTAGAGTTCTTGGTATGGCGCCAGTTCCTCGACGCTGTCCACGGCCTCGATGCTGCGGTTGCCTCTGCCATTCAGTGTCCAGAAGAGGGCATCAGCGGACGAGTTGGACACGTCGGTGCCCCATTTTTCCAATTTGCTGTTGCCTTGGTTTCGGGAGTAAACCTTTGAATGAAGCAACATATTAGTTAGTAGTATAGGCCAACGAGCTGAAATTTAGTCACATACTGGTTTCGATATATAGTCGTGACGATTCGGCTGTTAAAATAACTCAATCTTATACTTGTATGTTCTGTAATTGTTTATTAAATTTTCACATTGTCTTGATAATAAATTACCAGCTGGTGTACATCAAGTGAATGGACATGTTTTAATATGTTTAATTTATTCAATTTATTCGCAAACCAAACTATCTAAGACTCAAATCGGAATCAAATCAATCGCAGAACATTGCAAAAGAAAAACATCAAACTAAAGATCCATGTACTGAACGTTTACGCATACCACCTGAAATATGTCTTCGTGCACCAGTAGTGGCAGGCCCATATATTATACAGTTCGGAAACCTCTATCACACAGTGATAACAATCGAATGAGTAGCGCCTTATTTGCCATTGTCTGATCATACTTCAATTTCGACTGCACCTCGCATATGATGTGCAGACATTAAGGTATGAATAAAAAATGCAGAGCGTTTCATTGCCAGTCTTTCATTCGTCTTACCTTGCTGTGATATATTCTTGCTTCTTTCTTCCTCACCAAGCGCATCAAACTTTTTTTGGTAGACGGTAGCAAATTTCCCGGTGAATTTTGAATCTCGTATATAGGGATGACATAAGCACACTTCTCACAATCAGGTTTAAATTTCAAAAAGGCAGAGAGATTTTCGTACATGTATGGGCAAGGAATCATGTCAACATCGGCAGAGACGGAAAACGGTGTGTCGCAGCCACGTCGAGCCAAATTCCGCATAAAGTTTTGTGGGAATTGTTCGTTCGTTTTCGTTGGATCTAATTCAAACGATGTCAGGATATCATTAATTGCTTCTTCCGGACTGCCACATTTTAGACTATTCAAATCAATCGAATCGTTTGCTCTCAGTCCAAACTCTGGTCTGTCGTCACTTGGGTACACAAGATGGATGGTGACGCGTGCCATTCCGGCACCGTAGCATTTCCGGAGATAAGCTTCGATGATATTAACGGCATAAAATTCGTTGCCTTGAATGTAGGCAGAGACGGACACAGGACCTTGCCAAGATTCTATGATCCAAGGAAGCCATAACAATCTGTTGGCTGTAGCGAAGGTCGTGTAGCAGACCACCAAGTCCTCGCTTGCAGGACGAAGAGCTGGCCAGAAGTGCGGATGTTCCACCAAACTTCCAGAACGCGAGTGAAGTTTTGTCGTCGTTGAAAGCCGACGTTGCGACTGTAGCTGCACAGATTGATGGTATCTTTTTTAAATTTGATATTATAATTCCAAATTGGGCATGTCACTCCTCTCAGACTGATAAACGGTTTATGATTACTTTTTTTTAACAAAAAATCCGTCCAACCTTTTGGGTTGGAAGAGGACGATTTGCGACTTTCGTAAAATTTTAGACACCGTCATGAAATTACATTTCGATTTAAAAAATATTCCAAACTAACTGGTTTTTCAAACAAACATGTGTCTGGAGTGTATTAATTTTCAAACAAACCTGTGTCAGGAGTGTTTTGAAGTGTGGTGTAGTATTATTAAAGTGCTCTTCGATCTTGCGGTCAGCGCTTGCCCATAAGATGTCTGAAACTGGAAATGTCAGCTTCCCTCTTTCAGAAAATTTTTTTCGATAAGCAGCGGAGAAGAGGAATAACAAACCGATGCATAAGCTGGTGAAGACGATCTTTCTGCGAGTGACATGACGATTTCTCTGTGGTAAATAGTAAAATAGTATTATGTTATGGATTGTTATTATTGTTGAGTAGATACTAATTTACATTATGTTGATCGTTGACGTCTAAAAACAAGTGCAAGTTCAAGTATTAGAAGGTATTAGAAGGTATAGAAGAAGGTATAAGAAGTATTAGAAGGTATAAATTTGATGCTGAGAAATTGTAGAATTAGGAATCAACTTTTAATCATGAAAGTTTAATCATGAAAAGTAATCACTTTTAATCAAAAGAATCATGGGACGTGAACGTGGTCATTTTTCTATGATACTTGATGAACCATGAAACTTCGTTGGTCTAGGAAACTCTATTAATGGCGTCAATCTGGGAACATTTCAAATTAAATACATACAGAAGTTTGCTGCAATAACTGTCAGGAACTGGGATGAAATTACCAACATTTTTCGAAGTGAAATTAAACTTACATTTGACTATAGTCAAAAAGTTTCGCATTAACTATTTATATATCAATGACTTCATCACATCGGAAAGAAAATCTAGAAACAGAAAATTAAAAAAAAGTAATAATGGTGAGACTTAATCACAAGAAGCACAAATTATAGAATTATTTAAAGCTATATATAATACAAACTTCTTTTCAATCATAATTAGTTCCATATGAACAAGTTTCTATGTCATATAAATTTTCCAGCTTGTTAATTTTTGACTTAATTTGTACGTTTTGATGACTAAACACCATAACGTGATCATGATGACAAAAGAAATAGTGTACAACAGCAAGAATATACAGCCAATATGACAGACGGTTACTCAGTAAAATCGAAGTATGAAATATCTTACCGGGAGGCACGGGAGAGACGGCATCGAAGAACTGAAGTTTCACATCCGAAGCTGCAACTTTATAATCTATGTCTTTGAGATCACACTCAATATGTGAATACGACGGAAGATACAATAGCCGTTATCTTTATACGAGCTCCTGATACGAGTTTGATGTTCTCGGAATACCATGACATCATGTCTACTCACGTCCATACGAACTGATCGGGAAAAATAATTGCTCAGTAGCGTTCAGACAACAACAAAATTCAACTAGTCTATATAACAAAATTCAAACTTGCCTGAAAACTGCACCAAAATAATTATAAAAATTATTTGTTATCGAAAAGAAACTTGCCATCGATCAAGGAACTGATACTCATATCTATAAACGAATGTTTTCCAAAAACTGAAATTTGGCAACGATTTGAATTTAGATCGCGAGGGTCCATAGATTGATTTACTTTGATCGCTTTTTCAACAGTGAATTTAATCGAGTTGAGTCGTGCGTCAGATTAAGAAGAATTATTTTCCAGGGATTTCCACGCCAGCTCTTTTTAACGCATTTTCTCATTTATGGAAAAAATGCACTATTGTGCTCACCATGTCCGTCTGTCTGTCTTTCTGCCTGTCCGTCCGTCCGTCCGTCCGTCTGTCCGTCCGTGACCTCAAGTTTTCGTCGACGATAAAATGCGCTCTCTGTCACTCACTGCAGTGAGTACTGAGTTATATTTTTTGTTTCACTATTTTACGCAAATGGGGCACAAATTTTGATACAATATTTTGTTGAAAAATTGGATTCCGTCGAATCTGGAGTTTCATCGAATTAATAAACTCTTTTCAACTCAATATCCTAAGATTGTTGCACCAGAGATATTACTTATTATTCACCATAGCCCGGCTTTTTATTATCAAAAATATCAAATAATTTACTTGAGAATTTGTTCTGACGTAAACTATATTGGGTTAAACTATTCAGAGAATTCAAAATTTCTCATAAACGTTTCCAAACAAAATGCAGAATTGTGATTTATTTCAAATATCTGATGAATTTGCAATTGCTATTTCTGTTCATAAGTGATCAGTAAAACCAATAGTTTTCATTGTAACCATTTTAGCAAATAGGCTTTGAATAATTAGTTGGTTTATTAATTCATGAAGCTACAGTGCGATAAGTTCCCTCAATATCAGTTCATCTCATCAGTTCAAATTGTTGCCTCGATAGTCTCATTTAACCATTAGATCATTTACGGAAGTAACAAAACACAAATATCTTATTATTATTCGTATTGCTTCATCGTAAACTTTAAACATTTGTTCATTGTTTTCAATTGGCTTCTCTTGCGTCGTTTGAGCTTTTTGAAGTTCTTGATATAATTGCGAAAAATCTCGCTTTATATTTTTCTTTCTGCTGAATTTTACACACTTATTCCTACCAACATATGATCATTGACCATTTCATGATTAAATTTTCATGATTAACCTAATATTTCTAATTACATTAATTCACGATATTTTCTCTATGGACACAAGTACTTAAGGTAACGACCCGAGCTCGGTAACGTCAACACTGATATGAAGCCGCTGCCTCACCTGGCCTATACTGTGCCTGCCCGTCTACCCTGCCAAGAACGGCCCACTCGGCTGCCAAGTGTTCCGTCTGACAACTCTGCAGGTGTACTTATATATTTCATCTACTCTGGTATAATTTGTCTTCTTTAATACACTGTATTGAAAACAATGAATAATTATGTTAGTTATTTAATTTGAACGGCTGTCAAGAGTACGCGTGCTGGCGAACCGCATAAATATTTAATATGCTATAAAGAATCATTTATCGTTTGTTTATATGAAATATTATATTGTTTATATATTTTTTCATATAAAACATAAATGAAAATCATTTGAATACGCGAACCCCTGAGTCGTCATGGGTCAAGAAAGATTAATTATATTAAATATTTTTCGATGTACGAGTGGAAAAGCGAACGCAAGTGTGCGCTCGATAATAATTAATGGCGGATGTAATAATATGAATCTATCTGTGGCAAGCCTTGAGCCGACGAATTTGTATTTGCCACAGCAATGATATCCAGGGCCTTCCTTTTTTTCAGTCCTGGTTCAAAGCCATTAAATTCTGCAGCTGTGGGAATCTTCAGTGTAACTTTAACGATAGCTGTACCATCTTAGCTAGAAAATTTGGTATATCCTGAGCAATATCTTAGCTAGAAAATCGGGTAGATCCTGTGTTATATCTTAGCTAGAAAACTCGGTGGATCATGTGCAATGCCTTAGCTAGAAAATGTAGTAGATTCTTTGTAATATCGTAATAGTGAACAGATACATGTGTATGCGGATTTAAGTTAATACTAAGTAATTTAAGAAAATTTTCAAAAAAAATCTACGGAGTTTTGTAACATATTTGGATATCGGAATAAATTACGATAGCTTGAAGAGGAATTAAATTTGCTTTTATACAAGCAGTATGAAAATTATTTGAAATTGATATCGATATATGATAAGTTTAGAAAAATATTGATGAATGGATTGATTTCTAAAGATTGCAGATACTAAACAAATTACAGATCATGAAAACTAAGCGAGAAAAAATATAACAAGAAATACATTATTGGTTTGAAGGAAGATATCTATTTCTAAATAATTTATGTATGAAGCTTGATAATTTTTCTAAGTCATTCTTATCTCATGCTCATCATATAAGGCGTTTCTATCAGCCGCCGTCTGGTGTGGCCATTTCAAGTAGATAGCAAGGTAATCTACGAGTAAGATACATATTGTTCCCTCCCATTGTCATTCATGTTGTATAGTCATAACTTATATGTGAAACTTATTATAGAACATAACTCTATATCTTCCCGCAAATTGACGCTTTTGTGAGACAACACTAACAGTCCAGCACAGTTTTTCTATATTATGCATGACTCTATTAACAAATTTCATGGAAATTTCTATTTCAAAATTTTCTCGTAATTTATAAGTTTTGTAATATTATAAGTCATAATGATCTGACTGAATTTTCACCTAAATACGTGACCGAGTGGGAGAAACAGAGAGCAACCGTATGTTCATATAAGTCTTTTATTGATTTATTCGACCACATATACAAGCCTAGTCGGCATGACGCTCCTCATCAATAGACTGCAACTCACCCCTCCAACAGCGGGCTGCTCTGACAACTTCATCGGCGACGTAGAGACGAAGCAAAGGCTAAGCCAACAAACTCACGCTGCGCAGGTATTAAGGAATTTTTCTCTCGTGATCAAGTCGGAAACAATCAGTTACATCACGACCCATAATGACTCGTTATATAGCAAAGGAGATTTAAAGGGATTTACAAAGGGATTCATTCAGGATCCAATTCACAAAACCGAATCAAGGTTCACTAATACATAGACCAAAGACCCATTTTAAAAAAACCCTATATACGGCTCATGACCAGGGACTCCTTACCATGGACTGGTCCTATATCAAAATCAAAGAAAAAAATACTAATTTTTTGCCCGGGGGTCCCTTCATGCATGGTATATCATGTTTATTTACATCAACCTCCTCCACGAACTTAACCTTACATATAAGTGCAGAAATAAACCATTATTAGGACTTTGGATGGATAAAAAGAAAGAGAAACGTCAGAAAATATAAAAATCGTATGTTTCAAAAATCGTATCAGATTCAATTTTTGAATAAAATAATTGAATGGAAGAAGCTGGCTACACGATATATAAACTGAAAAAGTATGGAATAGAAATTTACTTGGCTATATCGAGTTTTATATATTTCGAAATCTATTAATAATAACAGTTGAAAATTGGTATGAACTATATTATATAAAATCAATATGCTGCTTAATCGACCTCTTTCATACCTCAATCAAATTTTTGACCAGCCTAGTTTTTTTCTCCACCCCCAGAGGTCGATTTATCGGATACTTTGGCGACCTCTGATCTAAAATAACGAATAAGATCACAGAAAACGCAAATAAATACCAAGAACTACAACTCAAGACCTTGACCAAAGACCGTTATTCTGATCCAAGACCTTGACCAAAAACTGAGACGCGAGAGCCACACCAAAGCCTAGACTCCAACCTAAGACTCCTGAAACGAAATCCAGGCCCCGTTATATAGTCTGGGCCATGGTTCTGGGTCTTCTGTTCCAGACCAATTGGTGGTCTCGCTCAAACTTGATCACTAGAAAAACTTTATCAACATCTACAACGATCGTTAGCTCGACCACAAACCATGCATGGATGTGGGGAGCTTTTTTAGGACGTTGATTTTATGTTACCGTGAATGGCATCAGTTAAAAAAGCAGCGACTGTCAATTGCGCGCGCGGGTCGGCTACGACACCGAACTTACTGGTTCTGCATTCACGGAGGTGAGCTGCGAAAACTAATGCGTAGTGCTCGCATTAAGCTCTTCATGGTGCCTTTTCCCTCCAATATGGAGGGTAAAACCTCCACTTATGCCTATATTAACTAAGTGAAAATTTGAAGTCCTGTGTCTATTACCTATTTCTAATGCTATAGCGGTTTCAGCGTTTAGTAGGCCGTAGGCCTGTCGCCGATTCTTAACATCGCAGAACACTCACAGTATTTTGCGGTCTCGAACTCGCAACTCACTGATTCAATTCTGTTGTGCTTAACCGCCCGGCCTCCTTGCCGATTCTGACCAGAAACTGGCGCACAGAGCTGGGATCGAACCCGCGCCTCTCTGCGCCAATTCTAGTACTCTGAACTTTAACCACTGGGCCACCCTTTAATACTTGAGTCCTCTTAGCTCTTATCCGTCTCTCTTATCCTGTGAGCTATATATGCGAATAATTAAGACTTCCTGTTAATCTAAAAACATTTCACGTTACAAATTAAAACGAATTGTTTCCCTTGCGCAGTGCAAACTCCTATTAACTATTATCTAGTTGAATGCGGGCGAGTGCGCTGAAACTCGGGAGGCGCGTCCGATGGTGGCCACTGCCATCCTCGGCTCTCGACGCGGTATTTCTTGCGGCGATCAATTAATAAACAATTATTTAGTTGATATTGCCTTATTTATCCCCCACTCGGCCGTGTTTTCAATATAAGGCATTTCAATTTGTGATACATTAATGGAATCTTTTGATGAACTCGACGCCTAAGACGAATGAATCAGAGCTTTAATTTCATAGATTGAGTTTGCCAACTTTGGTCAGTTTTAATATCTTCATGGTAACTTTATTTCATCTGAAATGCCCCATTACCCACAGACAGCGGCATAATGCGCCTTAAATTCATGCCTGGACTTTCA